TAGCATATCCTTTTAGTATATGTCGCCTCCTTCTTTCTTATTCCTCACTGAGAAGGTGGAATCATCCCTTTTGTTGCAAAGTTTTGATATTAACCGCCAATTCAAGATATTCTCCTGATTTCTGATTCCATGCCTGAAACTGAGGATACATGTCATTGTTGTTTAGAAACAATCACTATCGTTTTCTCACCACTTTCTCCTTTAACAACAAGAATGACAGAATAAGTGATGATCGTGTGGTTCAGTGGTTGTCGTTTTTTCGCTGCATATCATGTTTTTATTTCTAATATAGTTTCTCGTTTTATTTGTTTGACATTTGCCATATCAGATACTTGTAAAGCTTGATATGCATGCTGTGAAATACGGGTTTTGCTAATTGTTGAAGGTCGAACGATGACATATATATGATATAGTTGATCATTTCTACGTCATATCATCCCTGTTGTCATTCATCTTACATCTTCTTATTTTCATAATAGTGTGTAGGATATTTGTAATAGTTCTCAATCCATTCAGTTTTTTATATACATTATACAATGTATCTTTGTTTGTTAGGCTAATGAATAAAAAAGTATATGGATTTTCCTTTTTTTTTAATAAGCATAAGTAAAGGATCACAAAGTGAACTATACTATAGACAGTTTTGTACAAATGATAAATAGCAAATAATGTATACAGCAAATCTATGAAATACTTATAAATGATTAAAAGAATCAAACAAACAAATAAAGGCAACATGCAGTAGTATACCGCTGTTCGAAAGTCATCAATCAATTGAGAGAAAGCAAATTTGGGTTACAAACTAAAACTGAGGGAAACACATCAAATATAAGACGAAAACAACGAAACAACAAAAATACTAAAGTGCAACAAAAAAACCAAACGACAATGCAACACACACAGAAACGAACTGTAAGTTAACAATAGCCATTTTCCTGACTTTGTACAGGAGATTTTAAGAAAAAAAGGTGGGTTGAACCTGGTTTTGTGGCTAGCCAAACCTCCAGCTTTCATTGCAATGTTAAATATAACACTAACATGACAACATTACATGACAGGACTACAATACAAATAAATGGAAAAACATTCAGGATAGGGAAATACACAAATTAACAATAAATATAACCTTACCACATGCTAATAGTTATTAAAGGTACCATGCTTATCATATAAAACGCCAAACCCGTGTTTCGTCTACATAAGACTCACCAATGCACTCATGTCAATATAGTAAAGAAAGACAAACAAAGATGATGAGCAAAAATGACCCAAAATTCCAAAAAGTTGTGCCAAATGCGGCTAAGGTTATCTGCCTGGGATAAGAAATTCCTTAGTATTTAGAATAATTCATACATGTACTTCTGCAAACAGTAAAATCTATTAAAAATGACCATACAATTGATATACATGTCAACACAGAATAGAAACGAACACGTAAAACAACCTAGGTCAGCACACAAAAACATCACAGCCGAAAAACGCATGGCATGGCACCCGACTAGATCGACGCATTAAAGCAACGTCACAGATAAATCTCTAAAAAAATTCAAAAAAATTGGATATACCGGGGTAGTTCAAGATTAGGTTTGCTTTAATGCTAATTGATGTATTTGATAATAATGAAAATTACAATACTATTATAATAGAATTGTTTTATTAATTAGATAATCAATTGTATTATCTAGCTATAATGGTATTTCTCCTAAATCAAACTGTAAACCGAATACACCGTGTAAGTTTAGTTGCCCCAAACTTGAATATTATAAATGAAATTGGTGATTAATTATCTTTACCCTCACACACGAATAGAAAATAAAAAAAAAATTGAATTACAACTATAAACGATGAAACATTAAACAATATCCGATCAATATAACAAATACAACATCAAAACTAAATACATGAATATTGGATAACAAAATATCGTGACACGTCTTATAGCAATGCAAATTTACACTCAGCAAAACAGTGTCAATCGAGAATAGGTCACGTTCGGTACTTAAAAGTAAAGCTAAACCAGAATATAAGACGTGAAAAAAATGTCCTTAGTTAGTTTAGACAAGGACACATCGTATGGATCAATCAACTTGCAATGGTGTCCATAAAATTTACGGAGTGTCATTTTTAATCTTTCATCCTCATATAACTTTGTTGGAGCAGTTTCTGTGTAAGGAGAACACTCCTGTATATGAATTCCGTATAGTGTGAACATGTACATGTACGAGCATAACGTATCAACTGAGATATGTAAACACCATACGAAGGGACAAAGGGTATGTTACTGCTGAGAAATGGCAAATTGATAATTGGGAAGTTGAAATCGTCCCGTTTGTCATAGATTTTAGTGTAAAGTCGTCCATTTGTGTCAATATTGAGGAAAATATCAAGGTATGAAGCAGTCCTTCTAGAATCATTAGTATCCATAATTTCAAGTTCACTGGGATATATGATATGTAAGTATCATGAGTATTGGCTGAAATGTGGGTTATTCAGTGATAGGATATCATCAATATATCTGAAAGTAAAATTAAAGAATTTCGCAAGGTACTTTATATGTTGTCTATTAGAAGGTTCTGAATGAATTATACTTCATACGAGTACAAAAACAAATCAACCAGTAGGGGTGCACAGTTAGTACCTATTTGAATATCGACTGTCTGTTGAAATATCAATCCTCCAAAATGAACAAATATATTATCGATTTTTACGAGAACGTTCTTATGAGAACAATAAGTTTGTTCATGTGAGAAAACCTCAAATATTTGAAAGTGATAGTTTTCTAGAGCTTGTCTAGAAGAAAATTCAAAAACGGTTACTAACATTACAACCACATGTCTTTTTTGTTTCATTCCTTAGTAAAAGTAATATTATATGACACGACAAGCAGAATTATTATCAAGCTGTTATAATTCTTAAAAACAAATGACCAATCTTAATACTCTGCAGGTACTTTAAGTGAACGACACAGATTTTACCGATACAAATATATTTGTTCAATAACTTACCACTGCCCCGTGATAGGGGGAGGTTTTGGATCCCGCTAACATACTTAACCCCGCCACATTCTGTATATATGAGCCTGTCCCAAGTGAGGAGTCCTTATATGTTGAACTTAAATCACCTTTACAATGCCCGTCTAAAATATTTTCAGAGTTTTGTAGAGAAGTACAAAATATTTTTCAAAACGCATTCTACAATTAAAACTTAAAATTATGCATGTTAAAAAACAGAATAATAATCAACATCATAACATATAACACATAAACAAACATAATATTTTTATTTTTTTGTAATTGCTTCACAATATCACAATAAACAATCAAGACATGCGTTTTGCTGTACATAGCACTTGGTAAAAAACTTCCATCCAGTTTTCGATATCTTAGGAATAGCAGTGACGACATCTTGTCCGAATGATAGCAGTTCACAAGTGTAAAAAACAAAACTAAAATCAGTTTCTGAAACATATTGCTTAATGTATGAAAACCCTAAAATAAGTTTTATAGAAAAAAAAAAAAAAATGAAATACCTACAAAAACAGCAATGATATAAACAGAACAAAAACAGAAGATATTTAAGGGATAAACCAACAAAAAAAGGTGAACACAATAGCAAAATTCTATTTTTTTTTAAATCAGTTGAACCGAAATCATATTGTACATGCAATTCAAATCAAAAGCTAGATATAATATATATTTGTTGACATCTTTCATGTGAAGCAGGATCTGCTTACCCTTTCGGAGCACATGAAATCACCACAAGTTTATGGTGGGGTTCGGGTTGCTTTATTTTTCTATGTTTTGTTTATGTACTACTGTTTGTCTGTTTGTTTTTTCTTTGTTACCATGGCGTTGTCAGTTTAGTTTCGATTTCTGAGTTTGAATGTCCCTCTGGTATCTTTCGCCCCTCTTCTACCACAAATTGTTTTATTCAAGTAAATTTAAGATTTTATGGCTGATAACTATCATCAAAAGAGGCGACAGAATCAAAAAGTTAACTCAAACTCATAGTAGAAAATACAAAGACAACGCAATGGCTAAAAAGAAAATGACCAACATACACATAATAGTGAAAACAGTACATAAAAAACTAAAGACTGAGTAACACAAACAAAAACTCAGGGGTGATCTCATGTGCTCCGAAAGGATAAGCAGATCCCACTCCCCATGTTAATTTCAAGTTTATGATAATTTTCAGATTCCAATAAAACGCCTTTGTGATGTGTATGTTGATTCTGAAATGTGTTATCGTGCACCCTTTCCTTTTTTTTTCTGCATTTCTTTAAAATAAAATCAACATACTTGTTATCTTTGAAGTTGAACCCCATACATTGTTCATCTGTCTTACATTCTATTGCACACTCCGATACAGAAAAAATCATCACTGGTTTATATATGTTAAGGTCAACTTTCACGTTCGGTGGACTGTAATTGATGAAATGGTTAGATGCATTTCCATAAACTGCAAAAGAAATATGATTTGATTTTAAATCTTTTTCTACCATAATTCAATATGCAACAACCATATTACAGCAACGACTTGCATAATTGTGTCATTCGATTATATGTCGGAATAAAGAGTCCTTTTTTAACACATATCCATAAAATAACAAAAAAAAACCCACTTTTTAAAATACACAATTAAATAAACTGTAAACAATCAGTATTATTTGCTTATTTATTGCACACACAGTCAGTGTGATATGCGATCAAAACATGAGAATAAAGTAAAAATTGTCTTAAAACATTCAGTCATACTGCATACATTCTAAGGCCAGAAATGTGTGTTTTTTTCATGGAGTGTATATGTTCATATGTATCTATGATAACATTGTATGAGAATAAAGAAACAGTTGGAATTTTAGATAGTTACGCATATAATTAGACATAAGAACTCTCGTAGGTTAGTTCATATTGCTAGATTAAGTACAAATTATATCAGCAGATAATTTTGTCATATAATTTTCTGGTTTTTTTTAGTCACTTTGCATGCATGATTACCTGTAGCGTGTATTATCCAGTCGCCTTTAGAATTATAGCTGTTTAAAACGCAAATACTTTTAACCGGAAACGGGTTTGGATCTGTCCATTCACCAATCAGATCATCACCAATCACAGTTCCTCGTCCATGTTTGACAATTCCTCTATCCCAAATAACCCAGAAATCTCTGAATTCCGAACTATTTAGACAATGACGATCAATTACAGTATTCCAAGACATTGTGAATGGTGTGGTTAATAAGTTATCTTTGCGCCGTATCACCAGTGTTTTGGTATTATCATGTGCACCAAAGTTTACATCGTATAATGGCATTGCGCTATCTATAGTGACAGAGCTGGATAAATATACATTTGCATCTCTGCTAGCTTTCACTTTAAATTTTAAAGAAATGATTTTTGAACCCTCGATGCCATATTTGTCCAAATGCTCAGATTAACCTAATATATCAAGTGTTGAACTGGAATGAACTTTTCTTCCATTATCGGTGGTTGTAAGTAAAAAATCAACCATTAAACCTTAAAAAAAACATGTTCTTTATTTTACATTATATTTGTTATTTTAGTAGACAGTGAGGAAAAGTTCGCATCCCAAGAGGAGCCTTTCTTCTACAAAAGACTAATCAGTGACACGCAAATTTAAAATATCTAAAAAAGGCAAATAGTGTACAAATATAAGGACTGATGAAGACCGAATATTACAAAACAATGTTTGCAAAATACTTATAAGGTAATATATTCTTAAGGTAGACCACCCTTAGTATTTAGAAAAGTTCAATGTTTAGCGACCACCTAATAGTGACACATGATTTGTTGACAACTATTATATACCTTCTAGTGGGTAGACCACCCTTAGTATTTCGAAAAGTTCAATGTTTTGCGACCACTTAAAAGTGACACATGATTTGTTGACAATTATTATATACATTCTAGTGTCGATCGTATTACTAGAATGTTTTTTTTTTTGTTTTTCGCCCTCAAAATGACGTATTGGGTACAATATGAAGGTATTATGTGTGGAAAAAATTGTAAATACTGTTTAAAAGTTTAGTTACGTTTCAAACGTTATGTCATAATCTTGAACGTTTATTATTGTCGATACATAAGATTACAATAGATTGTATGATATAATGAATTATCATTACGAACAGCTTTAAGTTATAACGATTTATTATTATAAAAAGCTATATAGTGTGATGCTTCTAAAGAATATAGAAAGTATTTCGTTATACTCTTAAGAATAATTTAGTTGTCGGTTTACTTATCCATACTGTGAACGCTCTTCATTATTGTTGTACTTTAGTCCTGATATGATTTATAGCTTAATTTTCTTCAATTGTATGTTTATAGATTTATAATTTATTAAAACGCTGAAGGTTTTAACTCCCTCTGGTCAAATTCGTTTGGTTATTATTTAATATCATTTTCGGTTATAAAGCGTTTCAACTTTGTCAGCTCTTTTCCATCCTTGGCTTTCTTATGTTCAGCTTTGACAAAACAATGTTTAAGCGTTTCTGATGAAGGTTTGCCCAGAAAAGCGCCTCTATGAAGTTTTGTTATCATTTTTGAAAGATCATTATAAACGACATTTTTTTTTAAATATACCTGCAAGTATTTTTTACATACACACGAAAGAACAGACTTATTGTTTCTTATTAGGGGTTTCCAGCTCTGGGGTTTCATGTTTTTAATACAAATCTTGTAATAAGATATTTAAATATTTTTTTTTTAGTCGAAACTGATCTATAGCATGTGTGCAATGCTAAAAATTCTAAATGCATTTTTCAACGTTGCCCTTTTTTGTAAAAAAGAAAAAAAAAAGGGGGGGGGGGCTCTCCAAAATATGTATGCAATTGAATTTCTTACGCGACTTTTACAATATATCACATAACCCATTAAAGTTGAAACATGCTGTACAATATACACTATATGCAGGGATGATAAATTTAAAATGCTACGCTTTTACTATTATATGGTATATTCATATGGATATTAAAATGAACAATACATACTTGGAGTGCTTTATGAAAATTTATTGCGCTCTTTTGTAACTTCCATTTATACTGTCTCTTTTAACTTTTATAGTTATAGTTGATTAACAAATTGCCGGTATCTACCATCGACTATAGCATGTGTAGTTCTTTGTAGTTCTTTGTGATTTGTTAAGCTTCTTATGAAAAAAAAAACAGATTTCATCTTTCCCAATCAGGCGTCTTGAATATAACTAACTGTTGTTTTATATTGATTTTTGGGACATTGAAAACTAAGGTGTTCACTTTCACTTGCTGGTTCGTCTGTTATTAATGACAACATTCATTAAATATTTAATAAAATAATTGCTTTCGGATATAAGCTATGCTCAAAGTTATGTCTCGATTTAAGAATATAACAAAGTGAACATTTATATGTTGCATACGAGAAATCAGAAGGGATGACACTAATTAACTTGAGATCAACAGACTAGCGATCATCAAAGGTATTAATTGGACCATAGACATGTTACATAAAGAAAACAGTTACATAAAAATAGTTCTACAAAATTTACTTTGGATTGTAAAACTTAATTCGTTTGAAATTTGAAAAGCAAGCCCAACATGAGATTTTTCGTATGAGAATTGTTTAGCACTTTCATATATTATCCGGTATATCATCACCGGAAATATAACTCTCATTGATCAAAACTATATTTTTTGTTAGAATTTAATGGTTCAAAGTCGGACAATTCGGGGTTCTTTGGGGATTAAATGGGTAAAATCATCTCTGTAGTTTTTTATTAAAGTGTTTTGCTCATATAAGTTGTATTTTCTAGATTAAATCAATAATGCCCGTATCCATGAAGTGAAACTTTAATCTATGTCTTAATATTGACATCAGTTGTTATGTTTCATTGGACATTCAAGTTCGTAGATAAAGCAATCCACTAAAACCACGAAAATTCGTACCCGACGAATGAAAGTACTTTCACAGTTATATGGTTCGAAATCCATGATAATCCATGACAGTTATTTTCCAATCGTTTGATGAGTTTGAGCTTTTGATTTTTCCATTTGATAGGTTACTTCCGATTAAATATGTGTTGGGGTTCGGTATTTGTTTTACTTTTACATAAAAAAGTAATTTTCCCATATTTCTTTTATTATAAAACATGCATTTTTCTGACATAACCTTTGCACACCATAAACTATATGTACTTTATTGAATAAATAAAAATGATAATTTTGTGGGATATTATTTGGAGTATCCATCCTTATGTACGATTTCGCTGAATATGTTTTTACTAGATAAAATATCCTTGTCGCACGACTGTTTTAAACGGGGAAAACAGGTACTTAACTTCAGTTTTATTCTGTTTTATTATTATGCTTTAGATATATAAATAATCTTCTGCTTACTATTTGTAAAATTTGAAAAAGAACATGTATATATTTTAAACAATTTGTTTTTGGATGGAACGATTTAATCATAGGGACTTCCAAATGCATGTAATGTGTAGCAATAAAGTTGACTAAAGACAGACTTTTCTTATATATGTTTATATTTAACCAAAACCACGTGCAATCACACTTAAAAAGTTAAACTCCTTTGCTAAAATAACATTTTTTTTTGTATATGTTCTTGGAAGTTATCCTTACACTGTTCTTTTAATTTCTTATGAATTGGAGTAGTTTAGTGTCTGATCTGCCATGAAATAAATATTTGAAATTCGATACAGTGAGCAATTTTACATGATTTATGGTCATATTGTGTCTCTTCGGAATCAAATGGCAAATAAAATGCACTTTACATATCAATTCCTTATAAATAATAATTCCTCGGACTGTCATGTTCGCATATTTAAATTACGTAACGTAATTATGATACTTATCTCCTTCAACCGGTTTTATGAACCTACAAACAATTGCATAATGTGACACACATCTGTTTTATTATAACTAAAACACATTTTTAAAGACCAGCTCACCACAGCGTACCTAAAGGATTTCGGTGTACGTCAGACCAAACTTTTTTCTGCTGTATTCTTGCTATAAAATTATTCGTATGCATACCGAGTCAATTTCAGTCGCGATCAGATCGAACTTGTTTATGTTTGAATCCATTAGAAGGAACCAAAGTTTGAAATTATAATAATCATTTTGCATATTTCTTTGTCTTCCATTTCAAAAAGTAGTGTGCAAAAATGTTTTATTTTTATTTTGGCGATGTTCCTGTCTTCGCTACGGACGATGCTGTTATACGTGTCAGAGTACATTTCTATTTTATGAATATTATGTTTCCGAAAAGCTAGTTCATTTATCGTCTTTTGTTGGTTTAACAATAAAGTTAAAACGAACTTTTTTTCAAAGTAATCTATTTTTCTCTATGCCTGGGTACATGTATATACAAAAATTATACAAATCTACTGTTCTCCAAATTGTCATTAAAAGAACATTTTCCTTCATAGTTCGTATATCAAATTTCCAAATTATATTTGTGCTTATTTTTTTCCGAAGTTATATGGAGTGCATTTTGTTAACTTTTATATTCAATATATCGATATTTATAAAACATTGAACTTCATTCCATATTCCACTGTCAGGGCTAAAACTATAAACCTCGAATTATCCATAAAACAATTGTCCGAAATTGAATTTTTCAATACTTCTATCCGATTAAATGTAAAGGATTTTTGGTAATAGATAAAAAAAAAAAAAAAAAAACAATAGAAAACTAAAAATACAAAATCGACCCATGGATAAGGAAAAAAAAAAAAAAGAAAACTCGAAATGATAAAAAGACAAATACAAATTTTTTATGTAGATATTTGTCAATATTTATAACACAAAATATAAAAAAAGATTTTTTTTGGGTGCGGGTTCTTTTTTTGTTTTTGTTTGTGAACTCTTTGATTAAGAGGGTTCACAAACAATTTTTTACACATTTATTGTTCCAGAATTAACATATTTTCTTGCTTAGCATTTTGGTAATATACCAATTATATGAAATAAACACTTTTTTCAAAAGAAGGTGTAAATCAGACTGTAAAAATTAAACGAAAACGAAAAAAAAAAAAAAAAAAAAGAAAAAAACACAATCTTTGTACATTTACTGTGTACTCTGAACAATTTACACTTATTCTAAATAAATGTATGTGTTACCGAAAATGAAAAGTTTGATTAATACTACTTACCAGAATATGTTTTCAAGAAAGAAATCATATACAGGAAACGGGTTTTGAAATATATATCCATATAACTTGGTGATTAGCATGACAGCTGAATTTAACGTCTTCCACAAACTGTTATTTAAATCTCGTACTCAGCATGATGTTAAAATCAT